ACTTACCTCTCTTGATGCTAATAGCTATTACTGGACCTCCAGGGTATCTTTCTTTGCCCATCTAAGCATCGGTCTGATTTTTTCTTGCTTGCTCCAGTTTATTATACCCCACTCAATTCCCCTTTGCGATATTTGTCTCATAATACTCTCCACGTATGTCAATGTGCCCTCTATCCCAGTACTGTATATGAGTACCTCATTCAGATAATGTTATCACTTAATCTTGACATGGGCTATTCTAAAGGAGTGCTGTGATAGCTAACGTCCTTTTGTTTTGACACAAAGTTTCAGGCATGAATTCCCGGTTTACTGTGAACACTGAAGCTAATAAGGCCTCCCCTACTCTGCCTCTGTTATCTAGCACTTCTCAATAGTTGGGGTGGGTGGGCACTATCAGTTGAGGCTCTCAGTGATCTGATTAATTGTGAGATGGAGACATATATTCAGTCTGGGGGGTTCTGAGGCTGCTTTTGCCAATGATCCAGGACATTCTGGATAGAATTTAAACTAACTTGTTCCGGCACCTTTGTTTACTACATCGGCTTCTCATGAGGCCAAATTGGATCACCCACCTCCTGCTCCCTTTCTTCAGTTAGTCAGTTGGGTTTCTGAGGTTCTGAGGCTTTCCCTGGTTGTTTTTGAGTATGTTTCTTCCTTGATGGTGGAAAGATCTGAGGGCAAATACTTAGTGTTTCCTCCATCATCCAATATTACTGTTCATGCAGGGAGGTTTACCTCTCAGTCACATGAAGGGATAATCATACCTTGTTCCCTATGTTTATCAGAAGACATGCTTTGGCTTACCACTGCCAGGAGGACGTATATTTATATTCCCAAAGACTTGATCTACGTTTGGTTATGTGGGGTTTCAGAATGGAGCCTGTGATCACTTTGAACAGATCACAATTTTCTAATATTCATGTGACCCTCCCTATAGTTTTGAGATATTTGACTTCCCTCCAAATTTTGGTGGAAGCCTCTCAGCAATCCCCACATCAATTTCTACCTTGATATGATTGTTAGCTTCTGCTCTTTCTTTGGTTTAGTGGCTTGTATGTTGTTGGAACTTATTGAGTAGAGATGCCTTGTTGAAGGGAGTTCGTCTTCCTGCTGTCATTCTCCGTAAGTTACGTGAGGCTTTTTTTGTTCATCCCTTGATGTTTGTGGGTGTTGCAGAGGTGTTGGAATTGCAGACTGATGTTGCTCGTTTGCATTCTTCATTGTTTTTGTTGGGCTATTGACTTTCTTTGGCTCCTACTGGAAGTCATGGCGCTACTGCATGTCGTGCTTTTTGACCCCTGGCTTCATTTCCATGATCTGTTGGTACCCAGAACAGATTCTGTTCTTATTCAAGAGACATCTCCACTTGGGCAGACTGTTGCCAGTGACATTAATGGCTACCCTATGCTGGTGGGGTCTGTGGAAGTGCAGTTACAACATTTTCTGGACATCTGTAATTCCTTCTCCACAGATCCATGGGTACTCCAGGTTCTGGCTTTGGGGTTGGTCATTCAGTTCACATTTTCACCTCTATTTTCCTCCCAACCTGTGATATTTCCACTCCCATCAGATCGACGGAGTGTGGATCTTCATTCTAGGGTATCAGAGAGTTATTGGTCAAGAGGTCGGCAGAGAGAGCCAATCCCCCTTTCTCCCGGGATGTTATTCCCTTTTATTTGTTGTGCCCATGAAGATGGGAGATTGATGTCTGATCATCGATCTTTCTCATCTCAACCAATTCTTAGATCCTCCTAGGTTCACGATGGAGTCCTTTTTCAACCTGCATTGTCATTTTTCACCTGGTCTGTGGATGACCAAATTCAATGTTGCTACTGCCTATCTACACATTCCCATTGTGGAGTCATCCCACCGATATCTCCATTTTGTGCACAAAGGTCAGGTTCTGCAGTTCAAGGCTCTGCCCTTTGGCCTAGCACTCATTGGACATGCAGTTGCTAAATCTACATTTTCAAGAATCTTCTTATGGTACTTATACTTAATAATATAGACATCATCTAACAGGTCTGTAATACAATATATATTGTCTTAAAGTTTATGTCTATTTTAAATAGACACAAGATTAAGCGTCTGCTTAATGTGTTTTTAAATTTTTAACCTTGTTATTATGCACATCTGTTATGTTCGGTACCAGTTGTGAACTGGTATTTTAGTATGGTAAAGTTTCATCTGTTCCTGATGAAGAAAAGAAATAGTTTAAAATGCTTATTTGTACTAAATACTACAATCATTTTACAACCCCATCTTGCACTACCTTTGCCATGCACATTTGTATTTTTAAGCGATTACACTATAAACTTAAGCACATCATAGTCATTATAGTTATAGATTTAATCACATGTTAATGCTTTTGATGGCTCAGTGATTGAAAAAAAATCTGAGGGCTCATAATGCTAAAATTTGTTTTAATACCCATGGTGGGCATGACACAGAAAGCCTTTGTGTAACTTTGTACTTAACATCAAACCCATGTTATTTATTACTGTGACTTATGTCCTTATTTTGTTTTGAACTTGCCTACTTAATTTACCCTTGAAAAGCAAATGAATTATATGACTAAGCACATAATCCTTCAGTGGCTAATTGAGAGTGGTTGTACAGTGGAGATGTTGCTTCCTTTGACATTGTGTATCTTGAAATCAACAAAGTGAGAAACTTTGATTGCGCTATAGGGAGCAGAATCTCTTTTAATCCTTCTTTAGCCTACAGTTGACTTACTGTGTCTTTATGTATATATTACTTTGTATAGTTAGTGGAAATGACTTTTGGTCTTATGATACTTTTTGTATTTTGATAATTTTTATTTCATACAGTTTTTTCTTCACCTGTATACAGTATGTTAAGTATTACAAAAGTAAGTTTTGGCATAATTAATCAACAGAAAGGTTAAAGTTTTGTTATGGGTTTGTATATATATTTAAGTTAGAATAGACTGTTTTTACAACAGTAGTAATTCCTTAAGAGTAACTAAGGCCTGAAATATATAGTACATCTTCAACATTGTTTCAGTTTGACCTTAGGCCAATTTTAAATATTACTCCGTGGTTTTATTGAATCATTGGTGGCCTTATGTGTTAAGTAGTAAAAATAGTAAAATCTGCAAGTGCGTGATAAATTTTTTTTTTTGTATAGTTACACAAGTTAGATCTGAATTTTTGCGTGACTATTCACCCATTTTTCAATGAGCATGCTCTCTTAAAGAAATTTGTGGAATAATTTTGACTAGGTTTTTCTTGGTAAGGATTCTTAGTTGGCCTCACAGTTTATAATAATGGAATAGTTTGATGTGAAATGATGACATCTATCTTAATGAAATTGTTAGAAAGCCATAAAATCCTGACATGCTACAGTGTAAGAATTAAAATGTGCCATTCCATCAGAGCTACAGAAAGACAATAATCAACAAAAAATTATAACACCAGTCCTTGCTAAAATTGTTAGAAAGCCATAAAATCCTGACATGCTACAGTGTAAGAATTAAAATGTGCCATTCCATCAGAGCTACAGAAAGACAATAATCAACAAAAAATTATAACACCAGTCCTTGCTAAAATCTCGATAACAATGTTCAAGCTATTAAAGTTCCATGTGTAAGAGCTTTGACATACAATACTTATATATATATGGAAAATCAAAACCATATTGAAGAAAAGGTTTTTGTTGTTGGTTTGAAACCATGTTGACTGACTGGTGTTGCTGAATCTACATTTTCATAAACTTTTCTTTTTATGATACATATACCTAATAATATAGATATCATCCAACAGATCTGTAATTCTTATTTCAAGAGGTCAGGATAACTTGGACAATCTTGAAAAGATTAGATGATTCCCAAGAGTCTACAAAATATATAAAATATGTGTATTAAATATCATGCTTTGAATGCATAAGAAAGTTGTAAGAATAGCTTATATAAAAAAAAAATAACTTTATTTTTAGATGGTCAAGTTGAGTTTTGTTATGAGAACTAAAATTTTTTTTTATATATGGTTTCTCATGTGTGTGATTTATTCAAATTTTTAACCTTGTTATTCTGCACATATCTTATGTTCGGTACCTGTCGTGAACTGGTATTTCAGTGTGTTAATTCTGTTTTGCAATATATTTACATGTTTATGCAAAATTTCTAATTAATAGCAGTATCTCTGGATAAACAGTTAATACACTAGTGTGTTATTGTTCCTTTTTTCCCTGTCATATTTTTTGTCATTCTGTGATGTATCTCATATGATCAGTGTTCCCCAAGCAGTAGACATGTGCAACTGCACATTGATCTGGTAGTTACTGCACATTGAGAGCAACAGGTTGCTTATAAATTAGTTATTTGGTAACATTTATATTTGAACAATATATCCATGTCCAAAATAAAGGCAGGAGTACAGGCACCAATAGCCACTCAAAAAAGTGCTGGACAGAAAAGTAGTGCTCAGAGGAGCTTTTATCCCCCTCAATACAAAAATTAAAATAAAGTGATCATTGCCTGAGATCTAGAAGAAAATGTTCTTCCATCAGTAGGAACTGTTCACATGTGTACTTATTTTTCAAAGTACATCATTGTGCACTTGGTGATCTGTATGAGACATGATTTATACATCATGAACAGAAAAATTAATTATTAGAGTGCAATCCTATGGTCAACACCCTCTTGTACGTGCAATATTTATGTGCAGACAGCCTAGTACCTATAATATACCCACACTACTATACAGGGTGGTCCAGAAGGTAGCTGCTTTGCACATAGATATCATGTGTGCGTAGATTTAATTTTTAGCACCTGTCAGTAAATGGTCCTTTGTCAGCATATGTGCCAAGCTTGTGTATGCTCATACATACTTGTATGTTAATCTGAAACAGGTATAAATTGAACATGATTTGTACACTACTCTAGGGAAACTGTTTATTCACTCAATAACTTCCTGTCCAGTTTGATTTATATAAAAGTGTTTATTTACAAGTTTGTTTAAAGTATCCTCTACTTTTAGGCAGTAGCGCCACATCAACCCCTACACACAGCAGTCCTTTCTCTGCTAAGTTTTCCACATGTTCTCCAACCAAAAGTTCAGCTGACAGTACAGACTCACAAGGTACGTATATGTACACGTAGTGTTTGGCATATTCAATTCAACTGCGACTAATTGTTTTCTGTGGCCAACATAAGAAACTTTAGTGCTAAGCCTAATTGGTTGTTATCCAAGGCTTATATATAGTCATTAGGCTTTATTCAAGGGGAGTGGCAATCTTAAACTGCCTATCATATAATTGCATTTCTGTGTTTGTTTTCTTTTTGTGAACATACAGGCTAGACATAAGTTTAAGTTGACATTAGTATCCCCAAAGTGGTCATATGTGATGCAGTCCATTTTGTTGCTTAAACACTCAATAAAGTTGTGCCTTTCATCTCATTTTCCAGTAAAATATCTTGGTTCAACTGTAGTTAGTACACAGGATCACCTACAAAAGTTGTAATATTCTGTGGTGACATGTACAGTTAAGAACAGTGGTTTGCTGTAGCAACCAGAGTTCAATTGGTATATGTATTGACCTACTTTATATTTCCTTAGAGCAATGGTGTTAATATGTGTATTGATCTACTTTTTATTTCCTTAGAGCAATGATGTTATGTGTATTGACCTACTTTATATTTCCTTAGAGCAATGATGTTAATGTGTATTGACCTACTTTATACTTCCTTAGAGCAACGGTGTTAATGTGTATTGACCTACTTTATACTTCCTTAGAGCAACGATGTTAATGTGTATTGACCTACTTTATACTTCCTTAGAGCAACGATGTTAATGTGTATTGACCTACTTTATACTTCCTTAGAGCAATGATGTTAATGTGTATTGACCTACTTTATACTTCCTTAGAGCAACGATGTTAACATGTGTATTGACCTATTTTATACTTCCTTAGAGCAATGATGTTATGTGTATTGACCTACGTTACTTCCTTAGAGCAATGATGTTATGTGTATTGACCTACTTTACTTCCTTAGAGCAATGATGTTATGTGTATTGACCTACTTTACTTCCTTAGAGAACCTACTCACTTAGTTTTCTCTTCTAATTGTCATGGTGAGTACTATTATATGTTACTTCATTAGAAACCATGGATTCAGTGGATGTGAAGTACAGTACCAGTACTATTGTTCATAACTCCATCAGAAACCCTAGATTTGGTGAGTGTGATGTATGTGTACCAGTACTATTGTACATAACTTCATTAGAAACCTTGAATTTGGTGAGTGTGATGTACATGTACCAGTACTATTGTACATAACTTCATTAGAAACCTTGGATTTGGTGAGTGTGATGTACATGTACCAGTACTATTGTACATAACTTCATTAGAAACCTTGAATTTGGTGAGTGTGATGTACATGTACCAGTACTATTGTACATAACTTCATTAGAAACCTTGGATTTGGTGAATGTGATATATGTGTATCAGTGCTATTGTACATAACTTCATTAGAATCCTTGGTATTGGTGAGCGTGATATACGTGTATAAATACTATTGCACATAACTCCATCAGAAACCCTGAATTTGGGGAAGAGTCCAAGGGCAGTGAGTTACATATGATATAGACATGTTTCGTAAAGATGTTACAAACATCACTATGAAGTCAAGTATCTCACCAGTTAATATTCTCTCCTGATGTTGCATCATAGTGTATGTACTGTATAGTTATATTAAAAACAAAATCCTGGTTATAATATATTTAATATTTTTTCAAAGACATGATGTTGGGGAATATGTGTGTGACAGTGATTGGTTAAAAGTAGCACCTTGTTATTATCTTTGCCAGTGGTTACAGCGTTCTTGCTTAGTCATCAAAACTTTGGGAGCTCTTAGTCATGATCATTAACTTTGTGTATACTGTAGCATCATATAAATAAATATACTTGAATTATAACTATTTTTTTGGGGAGGGGGGTAGAAGAAATAGTATTGCTAACTTAAAATATGATATATTTTGTCCTTTGTTTCTCCTACAATTTCTGAAGGTAATCCTTCCTTTTTTTTTAACTAGGTAGTACTTAGAAAGAGAGAAATTCTAAGCTTTTGTTTTTCTACTCTTTGCTAGGTTGATGACCAGTGTCTTGTACTACTTCACTTAGTGCTCCTTATCATGCTGTTGCTTGAAATAAAATGAATACAAGGCATTTCTACCATAACTTCAACTTACATTTATTGTCAGTACAAGTTGCAACTCTTTGAATGAAGAATTGAAAGTTTCACAGAATTGTTAATTTTCATCTAAATGTCGTTTTCTTTTAGGATTTCATAATTTTGAATTTTGTTTCAGTCTAGAGGTACTGTTGTTAAAAACTTTAAAAAAAGAGTAGTATTTTATTAAAGTGGAGGTGATCTTCATGATGTATATAGCTGGTAAGGAAAGCATTAGTGATCATTCCCAAGGCCTAACAAATATGTAGAGTAAAAAAAGTGTGTACTAGGTGAGACTCGTGGATAATCCATGGTGATGGAAAAATGTATATAGTAAAGGAAATGTTAGATCAATGGCATGTGTTTGGAGAATATCTAAAATTGATGATGGCCCCTTAATTAAAACATCACAATAGCATATAAGGTATTTAAAAATTGTTCCTTACCTTTGAAATTTTAAAATAAATTTCCTTATGATGAAATGAAGGTAGGTTTATCACATGTATTAACTTGGATCCACTGGACTGTAAAAAAAGTAATATTGGTGTACACAGCTATGTGCAGGGCAATGTGTAATCATGCAAGTACATTATTAAACTTATACACTCAAGTGAGTCAGACCCAAACAAAGGAAATAACAAACTCAACCAACGTATGACTGACTAGATTACATAATATAATAACCTCATGCAGTAGAGCCTAAAATATTAAAGAAATAACATAAACTAATAGTTTATACTTCTCAACAAATAATACAAAACTCCCCCAAAGTAAAATAAAAGGAACAGACTCCTGTGACATTGGGGATGTCTCTGTGAAAGTGTTTATATGTTGCCAAAAAACGGCATCAATCGTGACGTATCTCCGGAAAGTGTACTGTGAACAAACGACTGGTGTATACGTAATGTTGACTTCTAACAGCCAAATGTGCTTATTCACTCTATTCAACAAAATATGTATAGAAAATATGGGCAGTGCCTTCAGAATTGACATAGCCTTTGCGCGCACTGTTTCATATTATAATATAGATTGATAAAAATTGGTAAAAGCAAATGTATGTATTATCAAAGAATGCATTAGGCCTCTACGTCTCGGATTCTTTTTTCAATATTACCTGTGGTGAAAAGGAAATATATATATACACAGATGTATGTATTGTTTTGTTGTGCTGAATGTCAAATAATCTAGGAATGATATTTCAAAGTTTAATTTTTTTCATGGATGCCAGTGTATAATTAGCTTGTTATAATATTTCTTTTCCAGAAAAGTAAGATGTACTAATGCATACTGGTATTAATAAAAATATTGTAATGAAAAGACAGGTGAACTTTGCATTACATAAGGTTTATCTAAATTATTACACCTGTTAAAATTCCAGATGTGAAATCCACACTTCTTTTCCTACATTTTTTAAAAGTTGAATTTGTGTGTTTATAAAATAATATTGGAGCACATGTTTTATTTTTAATTTGGTTGGCTTTATGTATATTAAACTAATAATTATATTTTTTATGAAATATTCAATACTTCGAGATTCTGATTTCCAGATATGTTTCAAATGGTGAGTTCCCGGTTCATTCTCCGACCTTCCCCTCTTGCAGCACAAGCAGAAAAATTAAAGACGAATGGTTCTACCACTAGTGGTGAGTACATTTTATCACAATGAATGACACATCATCTTAAGTGTGATATTGTAACTCTGAAAATTGGTACATCCTTCTTGGATGTACATAAGATTGGTCTAGTACAGTATGTGACAGTCTGAATGAAGATGTTTTTTGGAAGTAAGAAAAATCTTACTCAACATGATTGATAAACTCTACCATAAAATACGATGCTTGAAAGTAGCTGTTACTTTATAATTCCTTTACTGCTTGTATAAAATCAAAATGTTGACTATCCCAGGAAGTGTTTACCATGGGGTTTAATAGCTGATTTAGATCAATAATATGATGAATCTTCAACTTAGCCACATATCAGAATATGTATGACTGCTTGAAAATACTTGGAATTCCTTATTTTAAGAGCAAGGCCATGAAAACTTTGATAAGCATACATTTTACTTCCAAATTGTTGAAAAAATCTTTGAGGAACAATTATTCCCCATTTAAGAACAGTCTTCACTCATCTTCATACAGTGTGTTAAAAAAAAAACAACAAGTGAATACCCATCCACATATAGCTCATTTCAAGGAGTTGCAAAGACATGTATTATGATTGACAAGTTATTAAAGTTTTGCCTTGGATGCTTTCATGTAGAAAAAGGTTTATGACTGAGAGAGTTCACTCCCTTTCTAAAATTTTGAATCTGCAACATGACCAGTAGATGTATATTGTAGCTGATGCAGGTGGTCTGTAATAGACTTATCTGTAGTAGGTATGGCTTTCAACTTCTAAACGTATGTTTTCATATAAACCTGGCACCTAAATAACGGATAGAAGCAGTCCGATACAGTTGTTAAAGTATGTATTGTGGAGCAGGTGGGGATAAATAACACTGAGATAAAATATTGTTACGACAG